AAGTCGAAGTCCACTGACATGCCCCAAGGGGCTTCAAGTGTGAAATCATCGGTCTTCCACCATGCGGCCGTTGCCTTAACCATATCTTCAGTAACCTTATTAGGGAAAGTACCACGGGTAATACCATCAGCGGAATTCCACGTAGTAGCCACATGACGTAGAACGACCGAATGATTCATCATGAAGCCACGCATCGACTGAATAGTCTTGCGTTCCCACACCTTCATATCAGTCGCCTGGTCTTCTTTGTGGACTCTGTAACAATTGATTTGAGAATCACTCAGTATGAGAGCTTCACATTGATCTCTCATACTCTCATCAACTGTTTTCCACACATTTATAAGAAGGTCTCTACCATAAATAAGAGAAAGTAGCTCCTTCCGCGGAATAGTCCACTTATCCCTCTTTGGCTGAGGGAAAAGACCACCTTTAGCGCAGACCCTAGTCCCACTTGGGGTTCTAATATCCACCCCCCAGGTGCTTTGGCTAGCATCAACATAGACAAGCAACTTTTTACAGTCAATCTTTCTGGGAACCTTGGTCTCGAGGACAGCCTTCTTAACCAAAGCCAACCACTTACTAGTAAGAACACATAGGTCATCTGGTAGTCTAGTATCCCACGCATACTGGAAAGCTCTCTGTACCAGATACCTTCCTTGTATGTCTAGCTCAATTACCAATCCTAAGGGATCGTATAACGAGTTAGTCATAGACAACAGTTCCCTCCTTGTAGTGGGTGGTTTGTCGGGAGGCTTAAAAGATACACCAATCGTATCTCCTCTTGCCCCATGCCACGGAACTCCCAATATACTAGCAGGATCATCTTGATAGTGAAAGACCGTTTTTGAAGTTGCCACCGGAAAGCCATCTTCAACGCAGCGAGCCACCAATAATCGTTGTTGGACATGGATATCAACGCCATCCTTGACCAACATAAGCAGATCATCCATATAAGGCAAAACCTTACCCCAAAGTGTTGGTCTTCAGAGGCTCGTCGCAATACTTCTTTCACATTGGCCGTAAGCCATGAAGGACT